GACATTTCCTTGTAGGATTCTTTAAAAAAAATTAAAGGAGATTTTTAAAGGGATTCCTTTTTTAAAAAAACAAAAACAAAAAACAACCCACCATCTCCTGGTTTAAAAAAACCAGGATATGTTTTTGTTTTTGTTAAAAATATTGCAAGGAAATTTCTCATTTCATTATTCGTTTGCATGGGCAGGTGGGGTTGTTTCTCTTGCAAAAACAGCACTGTAATAGAAGAAACTCCACTTGTGGATCTTCCACTATTTCAGGACTCTTCTAGACCAATGCTGGGTTCAGAAGGCCTTTCTACTAAGTATGATTATTCACAAATTAAACTTGACTGCAGTGGTTGAAATTATGCTAGACTGCGAGTCCCAGCAGCCCTGACAAGGGCAGCCCACAGTGAAGAATGCTAAGAGCTGCAGTTCAACAGTATCTGGAGGGCTGCACAATTCCCACTCCCTGCTTTAAAAGGAAGAGGACAGGTCACCAAGGTTGGTTTGGGTAAGCCCTGTGGGGTTCAGGATTGGATCATGTTCACCCAGGTAAACTTTGTCATTGCAGACAGAATAGTTGAAACTGAGCCTTAAGATCACACTCAGCTGTAATTACATACAGATTAATCCAGTCATACAAGTCAATGGAGTTTATCACATGTGCAAAATCGCTCTTTAAAGTGGAAAAAAAGCCGCAAAGGTGGACGCTTTTAATGAACGGGATTTCTCCTGCTCTGCCCTGGGTGAAATGTGAAAGTGCTGTTAAAAGAAGGTTAATCTGAACGAAAACCCCTCATTTTTACTTTTGGGTTTTTCCGAAAGTAAAAAGAAGCGTAAATGAGGGGTTTTCATTCGGATTAACCTCCTTTTAACATCAATTTAACAGCGACGTCGTGTGAAATTATGACCGCTTTTGCGTTTTTTTCTAATTTAAAGCTCCGTTTTCGCATGGGATTTCCCCCGTGTGATAAACTCCTATGTGTGAACCAGGTTTCACAGACAGATTCCCCCCCCCCCAGCTTTAAACTATTTGACCCCTTAAGCATTCCTGGCCTCAGCTTCCAAGACCCACAGATTTAAGAATCTCCTTGGATTCACCTTTTAATTTTCACACTGTGATGGGCTCTTTAAATTTCCTATAATGCTCCCTGAGAAATACTCTTATCAGAGGTATTGTGGGA